CTCAATTGTTAATGCTTCAGAGAGTTGGACAATGACTAAGGATGACAGAAGAAGAATAGATGCCTTCAAGTTATGGTGCTGGAGAATATACCATGGACTGCCAAGAAAACAAATAGGTTTGTCTTGGAGAGGGTGAAACAGTCTCTCCTTGGAGGCTAGGATTTTGAAGCTCCACCTCACTTACTTTGAGCATGTGCCAGGAGGGATTGGTCCTTGGAGAAGGACATCATGCTCAGAAGGGTGGACGGATGGTGCAGGGGAGGGAGACCCTGGACGAGATGGATTGATACAGTAACTGGGGCGATGGGAGTTGGTGTGTCAGAGTCAGTGAGACTGGCTCAGGACAGGAAAGGGTTCAGACCCTGGAGATGTGGCGATGGGGTGAGATGTGTTCGAGTTGATGAGGTTAGCTGGGGCGAGGTTCAGAGCTATTGTTCGCAAGGTTGCAGTGAATCGTAGTCAACCTCACAACACATAGCAACAACAACAACAAGAGCAGAAATGCTGAATTCAGACTCTCAGGCTCCTAAATTTGAGAGTGCATTCCTGTTTGTTAAAGCCACCCACTTGTATTTCTGTTAGAGCAACACTAGATAAGTAAATTGGTGTGTTGCAGATTTGTTCTTAATGTACCTTTGTTATTTTGCTCAAAAACCACGGGACAAGAGCCTTGTTGTTGAAATATCTTAACTCCTGTGGTATTGTTTTGATGATCAAGTACTGTGCAGATGAAACATAAAATGAACTGAAATCAAGCTTTTCTATGTGAGAACAGAAAGGTATCTACTATGAGGAGGGCGAAACCACCTCATTGCAATGACCTTGTGAACCATTTTTGCTCATTTGTTTTGAAAAATTGATCTGAATTACAGTAGGATGGCTCACAATGGCCCTCTCTCTCATTCTCTTTCTCATTCATTCTCTCTCTCTCTTTCTCTCTCACTCATCTCTCTCTCTTTCTCTCTCACTCATCTCTCTCTCGCTCTGAAAAGTAGTAATACTTCTGCCTTCGTTCTGCCAAAACTAATCAGGATAGTGATTTTCTCTTTCTGTATATTATAGAAAACAGTGATGATGCCTCTCTGTTAAAATCTTGGAAAAAACCTAGCCAAAGAAATTCTCACTTTGAGTTGTGTAAAACTGTGTTATTGCATCTATAACTGGTCTAAGCCATTCCTAAGCCTTTTGAAAGATGCCTCGAATAACTGGAGAGAGCGATGAGATTTCAGCACTACTTCGCCTACAATCATTTCCATATGCGGACATGATAAACATTTGGGAACTAGAATTATGATTAACATGAGCTCTTTGGTGTAATGTTCATTTCTGGGTCATGCTAAGATGCCGCCCTGTGCTTCTCACCCCACCTGGCCCCTCACCTGCGTGCGTCACTTTCCTCATAGACAAGAACGTGATGATGTTTCCCCACGTGGAGGAGGCACGATGCTGAGTTGTTTCCTCCAGGAATGAAATGTCGGTGAAGCTGTAGGAAAAGTCCACGAGCAAAATACAGCGTGAAAGTGTATAATGCGTATAACTAGCGAAGAAAGGCTGTGAAGACGTCCCAGCCCGGGTTGAAGCACCAGGGCTCCTCTCTGCCCAGCCTCCCGCGCTCCTGGGTGGTTGTTTGCCCCTGACCTCTCACAGGTGGGGTGCCGTCAGAGCTCCCTGAGCCAAGCGGCTTGAGAAGACTCTGCTGAATGTCGTTCACCTAATGCTGCTGTAGAAGAAATACCACACGCGAGTGGCTTCAAGGGTTAGAAAGCTATTTCCTCACAATCGAGGAGGAAATCGTTTGGGATCCTTCATCTATTTCAAAGTCTGGCAATCCTTGCCGCTCCTGAGCTCACGAACCCATCAACCTCCATTGGCAGTTGATATCTGTCCTCTCCCTGTGTCTACGTGCATGTCTCAGTGCCCTTAGTCCTTATAACTCAGGTGGGATTCGATCTACAGTTCACCCAGCACCGGGAGGGCCTCAGCTGTGGGTTACATTACACTAAGTTACATTGTGAAACCAACCCATCGCTGACTCTGAGGTGGGTTTTCAGAGGCAATTGATGGCACAGGAGGAGATTTGCCCAGCCTTTTCCTGCAAAGCAGTTGGTGGATTTGAACCATGTGCTTTCGGGACTGCAGCACAGATCCTTACCACTAGGCCATTAGAGCTCTCTCTAAGCTACATTATGGATGGTGATGACATCTGCAGATAGAAAAGGCAGGATCCCACCGTGTATCTGTTGTTGTTGTTGTTAGATGGCATTAAGTTGGCTCCGACAAGTGGGGTCCAGGGCCTTGCATTCATGGCTGTTTGAGCCCAGTGTTGCTGCCCGCATGTCAGTCCAGCTTATCAAACCTCTTGCTCTTTTTCACCAGCCCTGAACTTTGTGGAGCCTGATGACTTTCTCCTGAGGCTGACCCCTCCTGGTAACATGACCAAAGTACCTGAGAGAAAGCCTCACATCCTCTCTTCTAAGGAGCACTTGTCTGTTGAGATTATGTGCGCCTGTTCCGGGCACATGATTCAGCCCCCAGCCATGCGCACAGTGGATCCTCTCAGACAGAAGCTCCCTTTGAAGGCTCCCCTGGGCCACTCAATCCCAGGGGTGTGCTGTTCAGGGTAGTGGCCCTCCCAAGCTCTGTGTGGTCTGCCTGGGGCCATGCTACCTGCCCACATGAGCTCCTGGGTTCCCCACTGGCTGACCTGTCCCCTGGACTTGGACTCTAATGTCTGACAGCAGCAGGGACACAGCCCCCTGAGAGGGATTGGCCGTCATACTGGGCAAATGCTCTGTTCCTTATCAACCTGGAGCAGCCCTCACAGGAAGGGCCATTTCCTTCTCCTGTTCCACCTGCATCCGGAGGGGCGGAGTAATTGCAGATAACTGACCACTAGGATCCCCTGTGTGCACAGAACAGTGAGTTCAAACATCTCCACGACTTCAGAGAAAGCAGCAGGCAGCGCTGTGAGCTAAGGCAGCGTCCCACCTTCCAACACCGGAGCCCGGGGGTCTGATCTGGCCAGAGACTGAAGGAGAATTGCCTTCTGTTGCATGAACGTTTACAGAGCATGTGGGCTTCTCATTGAATCATTCACACACATTTTGTCTCAGAACATTAGTTAGATTGATTAATAAATTAACTCATTACCATGTCTGAGTCAACACCAGTTGTGTACGGTCTTTGCCTTCAGCTAACTTAGCTACATAATCCTTTGTACTCGCCCCTCATCTCCCCTTCTCAGCCCCGATAACCATCCAAGATTGGGTCTCGCTGTGTATTCACCTGTCCTTAGCTTCCTGTGCCAGCGGTCTTATGCCCTAACTGTCCTTTTGTGATAGACTGACCTCACTCCGTCAGCAGCATTTGTTCTAGGTTCATCCTGCTGTACGGTGCTTTCTGAATTCTTGATTGTTTTTTCACAATGCGTAATACACCATTGTGTGAATTTACCATGGGTTTGCTAGCCATTTGCTCACTATGGGCACTTGGGTCGCGTCCAACACTTTGCTAGTGCAACTAATGGGACGGTGAGCGTGCAGGTATGTTCCTCGTGGCAGCCCTTACTCCACGGGGAGTGGGGGGGGCTGGATCAGAGGGAATATCTACTCTCAGCTTCCTAGAGAAGCACCAGGCAGGCTTCCCCAGAGGCTCCTCCCTTTCCACTCCGAGAAGCGTTCTTCAGATAAGGGGCACAGGAAGAATCCCTTCTTGGTAATCTGGATTTGTAAGTAACGGTGCTCCCCCAACTTCACTCTGGTGTTTCTTTATATCAGAGACATTTTCCTTTTTTTAATTTTTTTTTTAAACTTTATTATATTTTTTGTGTGTGCCATCAAATCGGATCTGACTGGTACAGGAGGAGACTGCCCCTCCTTCTCCAGTAGATCATCTGGTGGATTTGAACCACATACCTCTGGGACTGCAGTGCAGTTTCTTGCCACTAGGCCACCAGAGCTCACTTTAAATCAGAGACATTTTCACCAGCTCCAACGTGGGCACAGTACTTAAAGCTCTGAATTGCTAAGTGGAAGCTTAGTGGCTCATATATGCCAGGAACTTCCAGGGAGAAAATGTGGGCAATCTCTTCCATAAAGATTTGAAAAGTGAACCAAACCTACTACAGCTCAGTCTGTCCTCACTGACAGCAAGCCTCCGTTGTGTTCCCAAGACAGTAAATCTAACAGGAGGCAACTGCCCATCAGTTACCTCAGAGGGGCTGGTGGAGTCAAACCTCTGACCATTCAGTTAGAAGCCGAGCATGTAACATGTTTCCCCACAGGGGCTTCCTTTCTAACAATAGACAACATAATTTTACATACTTGAGGCACATTGCTGGGAGAGGCTATTCCGTGGTAGGAGCATCAGGCTTAGGAAAGTGGAGGGTCAGTAAAAAGGGGAGACCCTCCCCAAGACGCACTGACTCAGTGACTGCGGTGGTGGGCTCCAGTGGTCCGAGGCTGTGAGGACAGCTCGACACAGGGCAGGGTTCAGATCACTTGTTCACAGGGTCGCTATGGGTCATGCTTGACTGGACAGCACCTAACAACAACAACTCCTCTGGGCGGTTCTGCTGTGTCCCGTGGAGTTGCCGTGAGTCAGAATCAACTGGACAGCGTTGGGTTTGGTGTTCTGGTTGGATCTGGGACTTCCTGTTTTGTAAAGAAGCCTGGGTGGTGTGTAATGCATCATTTGTATGTAGTCCGTCAGGCTGCTCACTGAAAGGTTGGCTGTTCCAGTCCACCAGGGGCTCTGTGGGAGGAGGACAGACAGTGTCCTTGCTGACCATCTGTGGCCTTGGGCAGCCCGCGGAGGGCTGCTGGGGGTCAGACTTGGCTCAGCAGTAGTGAGTGGGGTTTGGTGTTTGGGGATGTTATGTTTGTTGCCATCTGGCCACACGTAGCTTTTGTCTGCCTGCGTCTCCGAGGACATGGCTGGCTCCGGTGAGGGGGCCCCAGTGGGAGGACTGAGAAGTAACTGGCCTCTCTGTGTGTCTCCAGTGAACTCGGGGGACGGCATCGACTACAGCCAGCAGAAGAGGGAGAACATCGGGGACCTGATCCAGGAGACGCTGGAGATCTTCGAGCGCTACGGAGGGGAGGACGCGTTCATCAACATCAAGTACATGGTCCCCACCTACGAGTCGTGCATGCTTAACTAGCGGCCAGGAGCCGGCCTTCGAGGCAGCTGGCCGCCGCTCTGCCACACTGGGCCTCTCGTTCCGTGCCTTACGGCTGCTGAGATGTGGCTTCCGGGCCACGGGACGGCTAGCCCCGTTGACAGCTAGGCTCTCCGATACATAAATAATGCCTGTTTCTTAGATTACAATAGTGTCCTGTGCTTCTTTGTTCCAAGAGAAGAATTGATTCCTTATGTAGCTCGGACCACGCAGGAGTCCGAGCTCAGCCTTCACTTGTATAGACAATAAAAGTATAGTTTTCCTATGCATCTCAGTGGTTGCTGTCCTGTGTCTGTCTGCCCTGCGGGTCATGTCAGAGGCTGGAAGGGGAGAGGCGGCCCTGGCTGCTTCACGCTGCCCGCAGCTGTGGGGATAATTCGCTGACCCTCTCTGTAAGACCCTGGAATCCGTGTCCCGATGGCATGGGACGTGTCTGTAAACCGAGTATGGAGCTCTGTGCCAGTGTGGTCAGCGCCTCCCCCACTTGCGGCCTGACTCACGGCTGCCTGCCCGTGTATGCTGGAGGGTGGGGTCCCCTGGGGGTCAGTAGAAGCGGGCGTGTATGAAAGGCAACTCTGTAAGCATGGCCGAAAACGCGAAGGCCTGGGAGCCAGGCTGGACTACTGTTGCTGGAGATGCCGTCAGTGTTTTGTTTGGGGCGTCTAATAATTTTGTCATGCCTTGCTGTCGTTAGGCGCTTCTGAGTCCCCTCTGCGACACAGAGACCCTCCTGAACAACAGAACAGGCCGCCCCTAATCCAGCACGACCCTCGTCCTCTCTGCTGGGCCTCAGCCCGGTGTCATGGCCATTGCCTCAGTCAGTCCAGGCCATCGAGGCTCCTCCCTTCTCTAACCCTCCTGGTGCTTCCAATCCTGGTGACCTCCTCCACCCTGACCCCTGACAGCACACCTAGAGGCTCCTCCCTTCTGGAACTCGCCTCTGCTTTCCAGTCTGGATGTCCTCCTCCACGCCTGGCCCCTGACCTCACGCCCAGAGGCTCCTCCAATCTTTAACTCTCCTCAGTGTTTCCAATCCTGGCATCTTCTTCCACCCTGACCCCTGATCGTACACCCAGAGGCTCCTCCAATCTTTAACCCTCCTTGGTGTTTCCAGTCCTGACGCCTCCTCCACCCTGGCCCCTGACAGCACACCCAGAGGCTCCTATAATCTTTAACCCTCCTCAGTGTTTCCAATCCTGGCATCCTCCCCTACCCTGGCCCCTGACAGCACACCCAGAGGCTCCTCCAATCTTTAACCCTCCTTGGCATTTCCAGTCCTGACGTCTCCTCCACGCCAGCCCCTGACAGCACACCCAGAAGCTCCCCATCCTTGCTTTTAAAAAGCACCCTGGTTGCATGTCCTCCAAGACAGATTGGTTTTTTTACTCCTGTGCAGCTAACTGGTGCCCCTTGGGACAAGTCCGATGGGTTGGTTTGTTCTCTTCTGTTTTCTCCCTTGGAAATGCATGTTGCCAGGAGAGGCTGTTCTTGGAGGGAGACATCATGCTTGGAAAGCCGGCGGGTCAGCGAAGGAGGGGTAGACCTTCAATGAGGTGAACTGGCCCCTTGACGACAGCCGTGGGCTCATGTGTCAGAGATGAGGAGAGCACAGGATAGAGCACAGCTGGACGTGTCCCCTCACGGGGTGACTAGGTGTCAACACTCAACTAGACATCACCGAACAACTCCACCTCCTCTCAGGAGCCGGGTGTGGTTCTTAGAAAACTATTCACTAGACCTGATAATGACAGCATTTCAAAATTTTATCTAGATTTTTAAAAACTAAAAACAAAACCTTTAGGCAAAAGCTCCATCTTCTTCATTCAGCACCGAGGCCCATAGAGCAGACCACTTGGAGGCCATCAGCCCCAGACCAGCCTTTTCAGGAGTGCTGGGCACTGCCCTCAGAGCACCGAAACTCCATCCAGAAAGTTCCTGAAGTTGCGCCAGCAGGTCCGCACACCTGTGTGGCTGGACACAGAGGGGGGTATCTCCATTCTGTAACAGTGAGCTCCTCCCTCCACACCAGGCCTGGTCACCAAGAAGACAGTGGCCCAGAGCCTGAAGCTCAGCTTCCAAAAACAAGCACCAAAGAGGAAGCCGCTCCCATCACTCAGATCCCTCCATCCCATCCAGTGGGGACTCTGGCTCCCGGGAGTGTTTCAGAGGACACATGAGATGTGAGTGATGGGGTGAGGCTAGCAGGCTTTTCTGGGTCATTCTTTGAAATGACATAGTCAACCTCCAGAGATGCAGGCCAGTGTCCCTCTGAGTGAGGTGCTCTCTGCCCCCCTGCCTGCCACCCTTGCACAGGTGTATGGTGGGCGGGGTGTCCATGCTTCCCCTGCTGGTCAGTGCCAGGGCGGCTGCCGTAGCACACTCAGGATGCAGAGACTCAGGTTCAGCCCCCACCCTTGGCAGCCCACCTGGGTACTCCTGCTGGGAGGACAGAGCCCAGCACAGAGCCAACACTGTGGCTTCCTGTGCCACGTTGGCCCCTATTAGCTCACTGCTTTGGGCTGTTTCTTTTGGGTAGAACCGCTCTGAGCTTCCGCTGCAAAATGGAGATAACTCCGGCCTGAATGAATGTTGGGAAAATCCTAAATGTTAAAACCAGCCACGGTTAACAGCGGCACCAGATGATTGAGACAGTAGTACATTGTGGTGTCTCTGTGACGGCAGCACTGGGTGACTGAGACAGTGCACTGTGGTGTCTGTGACGGCAGCACTGGGTGACTGAGACAGTGCACTGTGGTGTCTGT